ATATCGAATATATATATATATATATATATATATATATAAAATATGATATAGTAATAATGTAATTTTTATTCTCCAATTTTTAAAGACTAAGAAAGTATTTGAATAAAGCAAGTAATAGGAGAAAAATATTATTTGATGTGCTTTGTATTTTATAACATCTTTGAGATGTTGGAGCAAAATTTTGCCATATTGTGCTATGAAAATAATAAAATTTACATTAAGAAAAGTGGATTATCCACATACATATACGACTTCTATGTAATGGTATACGAAAGTATCCATACTCTGTTTATAGATATTTCATGACAGATATTATTTCGAAGCGAAACAAGAGAAAAGTCGTATATCTGTCGTATTGGCATTTGTGACATCGACATTATTAAAACGAGTAAAGGAACGAAATAAAGGAGAAAAAACCGAAGAAAGGCTGAGGCAATTCTCGCACGAGCACAAAAAATATACTGGAAGGTTAAATGTTACATGAGCTTCGGCGAAGAGAAGAGCAACCAGGTTCCCGGTATCAATTAGCCCGCTGACGGAAATAGCATATGGTCGTCGAGATTTTTCGAGACGAGAACGCGAGAACTGCAACACCTCAGGCTCGGAATCTACGAACAGGTTGACACTTTATCTGCCGAAAGCATCGATCGTTGAGGCATCCGTAAAAGGGGCAAGGCGCGAGGCAAGAAAGGCCTGCATAAAGAGTCCCGCCTTCGAGATATATGCGTTTCTACGCCGCGAGTAGTTCGAATCAGTACGCGAAAAGACACGATCTGCGCACGATATATTTGCTTCTTTGCCAATGCCTAGATCAAGAAGAGAAAAAAAGATCCAAATTACAAAGGAAAAATTTTAGAAAGAGACGAAAAAGAAAATATCTAAGAAATAAAACAAATAATCGTGCTAATTTCGCGAATCGCTGCGTCAATCGAGCAATAATTTACCATATCTAAGATCCATTTTGAGACTAAGCTCAGCTCAGCTAGGTATTTTAATCGCGGTGATAGTAATCGATCGCGAAAAGAAAGCAAAGGGAGTAAACGATTAATGACGCCACGGCGTGTATAAGTGCGCAGTTCTTGCACAGGCACGGGAGAAAGACGCGAGCGAGCCGCTTGTCAGCGGTTCACCAGCGGTGGCTTTCCAGCGGGAGGAGTGCCGAACCCTTTTCAACTGGTCCCGGATCCGATCGGACCCGACGACGTTCGTTTTCGGTCCCTTGTCCCCCCCTCTCTCCTCTTTTTTCTTCTACCACTCTACTACCGTTGCCGTTTCTTCCCAGGGATTCGCGGTGCTAACATTCCGCCGTGGCAGGCGACCGTCCTCCAGGCCGAACAGATATCAACTTTCCCACAGCTGCTTTTTCGAGAACCGAATGCGCGATTTCGCAGAAATGCAGAAACAAACGTCGGGAAGCCGATCGATCTCTATACCCTCTCATCTCACGTCGCTCGATCACGTGGAAAATGCAAATAGAGATTGCAACAGATCAGGGGCAATTACATCTCGCCGTTACTTTGCGCGTATCGGTAATATTGCCGATCGATCTCAACAACGTTACTCAACAACGATTAGATTTAATTTCTGGAATGCCATGGATTGGGTTTGGCCTTGCCAATTACCATCATCTTTAAGAAAAAAAAAAAAAAAAAAAAAAAAAAAAAAGAAAAAAAAGTAAAAT